TCTACTATCGTTCAGATTAATCAAACTGAATAAACTACATGCTGAAGGTCGTGTCCAAGATATTTATCTCGCATAGTATAATCAAAAAATGAGCCTCTGAAAGCTCTCTGTAGCTGTATTATTTTGATCTTCAGTAGTTTTGAGAAAAATGTTCATCTCATCTGTCATCTTACCATTTAGAATTCCACTTGAATCTTCAACAGCATTGGCAGATGGAATTTTGCTTTTATAACTAGAACTTTTGCTCTACTTCCAAGTTTTACTGAAGTATCACACCGAGAGATAGTACCTGGTTTCCTTTGTCCACCCAAGCAAGGGAACAGTTCAGTCAAATTCTCCTCTGCCTACTACATGGAGACCATTGTATAAATATAATCTCCATCAATTAACTATATCTGTGCTGGCAGTTTTCAGCCTTACAACCTTTATGAATATGTGCTACATCAGAATGCGTTACATAGCTTAACACATGGCACCTAATACTGTTCCTGAGGAGACTGAGAAATCTTTTTTGGATGTAATATTTTCCTATGTCTCTACAATTTCATTTATAGCACCAAACTTATTCATTTATGACCATCCAAATGATACTGATTCCTCTGAATGTTGATCCAGTTTCTTTGAAAGTGTCAGGAGTCAAAAGATTTTGCAGATCTTTCTTTGGACTGTAAATTCAGCTTTATCGTCACCAAAACCTATCAGTTCTCCAGCATTACATTATTTGTCATATACTGGTAAGTACTATAGCAAGACAAGCCTGAGAGCTGTGATACAGCATCTGGAATATATCCTACAGACCAAGCAGGATACAAACCTTAAGAATTCTCCGTCTCAAGTTGCAGAATCATTTCACTGGAAACCACTCAAATCTTTGAGCCATTCAAGAGGTAGAAATCTACCTGGTTTTACTGCTGTCTATGACCAAGTCAGTTCTATTAACAGCTAAAGTTTTAGGAACAGACATATTATAATACTTAACATGAAGTACAAAACTAACAGTTTGCAAGATACTTGTGTAAATGCAGTCCAACACACTGATCCAGCAGAGTCATATATTTGAATATGCTGGATCAGAATCATTTAACCTATACAGAGATCACTGACTTCACACATATAAGTGGAAAATACCCAGATATAATTATGTACTTCATTAAGCTGTCTGTGGAAACATGGTAGGTCAAAAGCAATTTGATCCAACTATTTAGAGAGGGATGAAGAAATTACTTCCAGGGATCCCTCTATGAATTTATAAATCCTTTAGTTCAAGTACTAGAGCAAACTGATAAGCACTTTTTGACAGTCCATAACCATTTGCTATGGAAACAATCTTCTTAGTCTATTCCCAACATCTAAATGATCAACAATAACTAGGAAAAGAAAGATTAAAGAAGAGCAGAGAAAAATCTTAGATAATTCATATCTACACATTTCTTGCATTAAATAAATTCCAATCAGGTATTTTAAAATATATTTGTTTTTCATAGGAATGCATGAAAGAGGTCACTCATTTATTGATTTATTCTAACACTTTTATTTGCTATTCCTTGAGCATTCTTTTTCCCAAACCAAATGAATTAGACAAAAATAAACTTACTGCACTGTGTGTCAGATCCACTGGTTCTATCAAGTACAAATAAGTATTATCTTCAAACATGCCACTAGAACATGGAGAAAAAGAAGTGATATTTAGGATTACACGGCTATTAGTTTGACTCCAGGATACGATTTTTGACAAGACAAAACCAAACTTAGGGCTGAAAAAAATGATCAATATTAAAACAAATTCCATATATGTTCATTACTACTGCTTGCAGTCAAAGGTAAGAATTTTTTTTAAGAGATCAGGCACATTTTAATGAACTAACACTGAATGTAATGGCAATGTATTGGTAAAGCACCAAAAAGAGTAAAGATTTTACCTTGGAAAGAAAAAGTCCTAAGACACACATTTGCATGCAGAATATAATGAACAACTAAGCTTCACTTAACAATAACTAACCCTAGTAAGGACTAATTTCTTACTTTTTGTCCTTGTACAATCTAAGAAAAAGATCCGTTGTCCTATTGGCTGACAGAATCATACATAACTACTGAGCATGCAAACTGCTAAAGTACAGTTCTTGTTTATCCTTTACCATAGTAAGTCATCTGGTGAAATACTTATTTGCACTTACCATGTTGAAAGGTTTCCAAGAATAATAATTAGTTAATAAACTTGTTTGAAAAATGAGAACAAGCACTTACTGAAGTCCATTACAAGTTGAAAGGGCAACTCTGGAATCCTTGATACCTCTGATATTTCCATGGTAGTAACAATGCTCTCCACCCTAATAATATTTAAAAACAAACAATCACACACACACACAATTACCCTGATTTAATGTCTGTTGCTTAAAACCAAGGCAAAAAAAGATCTAGCAACTTGCATCAGGTACAATTTCAGAGAAACCAGTGATTGCTAAATACAAATGACTAGCCCTAATTGCTTATAAGAGAAAAACTGTGCCGAGTAAAGACTAATTTTGTAAGTCCTCAAGCCATAACCTGGGTCCTTTTGTTGAAGTCACAGCATTTTTGACTTTTCTTAACTGCATTTCTTTGCTGTAAATTAATTTCGTAAAAATGTTATGTAATGCAGGTTACATGAGCATTGAATTGTTTCTTGATGCCTCCCAGGTCTGTTAAAAATTACAAGTGATAGTGTTCATCAATCACCTGGCATGTATTTGGCTTAGATCTGGATTTTACCAATTTTGTCTCACTAAAAATTGATCAGTTAAAATGTGACATCATTATACTGTAGGTACCAATATCACTAATGATGAATGAGCCAGAAAGCAAATCCAGTTCAGCAACACTAAAGTATACAGTTGCATTTTTACTGTACATTATCAAAAGTGTACTAAAAGCCAACTCTTGATTTTAACTGCATAAAATTCCAAGTAGATGCAAAACCCAAATTATTCTAAAAAAGGCAGGATTTTTGTGTTTCTCTAAGGAAGTCAGCAATCATGTTTTAGACAAGATCTTGCCTTTTATTTAAAAAATAACAACATTTAAATTACCTACAAGTGTGTTTAAATGTTAGAGACTGAAAAAAACCACACACACACCTAAAATTAGGCAAACTACATCCAAAACTGTAATCCAAAACCTCAGTTCTCAAAGGCCGTAATGATATGAAGTAAGGGAGACTCTGATGAATGCTGCAATGCAAGATTTGAACAGTCAACTGATGGAGGGATTAGGCTGAACAGAATTAGTGCAAAATGTGCTACCAAATGGGCGTGCAATGAAGCGCTGTGTATAGTCTTCCACTTCTCCACAAGAACGTAAGGTAAGTTGCAACATGCGTACATTGGGGGGTGGGGGGAATAGGACAAAGCAGCAGATCAAAATATCACAGAGAATTGGTACATACTTAAAATCTTAAAGTTCTGATGCAGAAAAGCCTTGCTCAGATGCCAACTAAACTCTAGTGAACGCTACATGCTTTCCTCTGAATTAAAAGTGCAGGTTCCTTGGACCTGCCCAGTTTTCATCATAGAATGAGCTAAGTTGAGCTCTCCTCTCCTGAAGCAACTAGCTCCTGTCTAAGCTCTCCTTGAAGTGGGCAGAAAACTCCAAGCATGCTCAGAACACACCTAAGTCAGAGTGACAAGACGTACCCTCACAAAATAAGAGTTGCAGTAGCTTTCTTTTCCAAACATTGACCATTACATGTCAATGCCCCCCCTCTGGCTAGTAACTACAGCACTCATCCCAGGTTTCCCAACTGCTGAACCATTTCCCAGGTCACCTTGAGCAGAATCAACTCACATCTCCCCACCTTCTAAAAGTGTGCTTTACCTCCAAAGCTACTGGCTACTTTGAGTCAGAGCACTCTACATGAATCAAGCTAAAGCAGTCTTATTTTGTAGAAAAAGCAAACACTTATGAAGTCAGAAAGAGGGAGCATGATTCGATACCCCAGAAGCTAGGAAGCTTCTAGCAGAAAATCTTAACAGCAGACTACAATAAATAAATGATTCAGATGAGAAATTCAGTAATAATTGTCTTGTCAAAGCATCATCTATTCACATACAAGAATTACTAGTGTTAAAATAATTGCATGAAGATCTTTTTAAATCTCCTTTTTTTTTTTTACTTTCTGTAGTTTCACAATTTGTCATTTTTCTCTGTATGTTCTAGTTTTCTTCTATGTACTAAATTTGTGTGATTTAATTTCTCCTTGTAATGGAAGTACAGTTCTACTGGACTATCAAGAGTTTTGTATTATTTGATTGTAAATAGCTAAATATGTATAAAAACCTGAAGTCTTTAGTATATTTTTAGGATTATACACTATAGGCAGCCACATGGCAAATTATCAGATCCTTTATCTATATTCTGAGAGAGAAATTAATTCTATCCTTATTGCTGGACAGCAGCATTACTAATCCCTAAAATTCCGTAAATCACTGAGGCATAAATTGATTAGAATGTTAGAGGCTTACAGAACTACTTATCACGACTAAGGGCAAAATAAACTAGCTTCATAGGAATGGTTCAACTGAGTAAACAAGAGTATAGTTATTTTCTATCAACAGAAATAAAGCAACATTAACAGACTGTTCAAGCTATGAATGTTTAGAAAGAAACCAAGAAACATTACTTTGACCTTCTAAAGCATTACTTTGACTTTTCTAAAGAAAAAGGACTTGTGAATTTAGAAGCTGTTAAATACCAGAAATTCTGCTGCTTTATGTCAGTGAAGCTAAAATGAGGAAAACTGAATGATACTAATTTACCTCATTTAAGTAGTTGGTCTTTAATGTCTATCAACAATAACCCCAGCTAAACTAAAAAGTATTCTCGAAAAGTTTTATTAAAAACGCTTAAGTGAGGTTGTCTCTCACACACATTGTTTGAAAAATGTACTACTCATCATCAATATATTCTTAATTCTGGTGTCATATGTCATCTGAATTCCAGCAAGCATATTGGACCCACTCCTCCTGCAATTGTTGTAACTCAAGGAAGTACCAAAATATAAGTGCTCTATGTTTAAGCATGCACAGCTTTATTTTCATTTTGCATCTTATTTAATGAGTTATTCGGATTCTGAATGAAATTCCTACCAGACTATTGTGCATAATTAAAGTAGTACACAGAAAGCAATCACTACATATTTACCTTTCCACCAGTAAGAATGCATAAACCATGCTTTTTAACAACTAAATCATGATTATCTTTCTCACACAAGTAGCTTTTCAAGAATTTTTTTAGAAGACAGTCATCCGAGTAAAGAAATTGCTGTTTGTTCTTCAGTGTTTTCACTGTTGTAATAAACTAACTCTTTCTAGAAAATACAGTAATTTTCATCAAGATCACACTTTTTTACATCCACACCAAGAAACAGAACAATCTTTTACTTACTCAGGTCTAAAAAGAATTATAAGATACTGCGAAAGACCAGGATACAGTCCTTATTTGATCTCCTACACTAACTGTGTGTATATTTTCCTGTACTTATAATGAAGATTTTTACTGATTAATGTGACCTCAGGAGCTCTATTATTGTTTCTAAATAAATCAATTCATAAAACATCCCCTAGGAAGTTTGGATCAAGTTACTGCAGCATGCAAAGGTAGTCCATTTGCTGAGTCTAAAGTTCTAATATAATTTTCCAGTCAGATTCATGACTCAGCAACCGCAGTGCCCAATGCTAGTGCTGCAGCCGACAATTGCATGAGCTTGTCTAAATGCCAAAGGGAATTGTTTTCTTGCATCATTTAGCATTTTTGCCTATTCTGCAGAGTAGAGTCTTAATGAAACAACTTCCTCAGTATGTTACATGAAACTATTTCTCTTCTTCAGTGGAAGAAAACAAAACAGTATATTGCAATAATTATATTGCAATGTAATTGTTTAATTTTGCTCTAATCTGCGATACATTGTTTTATTTGAGATTCTCTATAACAAGGGCAAAATAATAAACTAGACCTCCAATACTTGGACAAACAGTCCTGACTTGCTGAAGACATAAATGCAACTTGCTTTCCTCCGCTCTAAATAGAGATATATTTCCCGTGTAATAAGCTCACAAACAATATTCCAGCATTCATACCAAATATGAAAAAAGTAATTCCCTGAAAATGTAGTTTATAATCTTCCTAGGAACCTAGCAGTCCTCATTTTGTTACTACAACAAACAAAAAAAACCGATCTGGTTCCCTCAGTCAGGGCTGAACTATCTTGCATAACTGTAATCTCTTTGCCTTTGGATCAACAGCCTATGGCACTGAATTCAACTTGGGAGCTAGTTTGACAAATGTGATTAATTAGCAATATGGTCGTTTTGTAATAACTGAAACCTTAACCTCTGGAGTTAAGTTTTTCATTTTCTATTTCACAACTGTATAATTCTTGCAAAGAAAAGTCACTGCAAGTTTGCTTTTGTTTGTTTGAATGTCATACACTACCATTATCCCTTCCCCTTGCACTTTGTGCTAAGGACATGTAAACAATTAATGAAGACTATACTGACAATGACTTCAACTCTCCCACCCTCTACATTTTACAAGATGTAATTGTTCTGGCAGTATCTGGATCATCTTCGTTACTATCACCTACCACTGCCTACCCCTCATCCCAACACACAGCTTTCCTTTTTTGTACAACTCCTCTTGTATTACTGAGATATCCTTACAAGATGAGATCACAGTTACCTTGTATGTGTGGAAAAAGGCTTCTGGTGGTTTTACATCTCGAAAAACTTTTTTTCTTTAACATTTTATTGGCATTGTTCCCTCAGAAAGATCATTCTGACATATTTTAAAAGCACAATACCTTAGAAAACTTTGGTTTTCCATCTTCATAGTGAATCTCCACATAACTGGAAGCTAACAAGTCACTGTCAAAGAAAGGAAAAATCAAGATAAGAAAAAAATGAATATTCTTTCAACTGCTATGGGGAAGTTGGATTTTCTATTTCCAAACCATTTTTTCTTTCCTTGCAAATTAGTTTAAAAAAATTAAGCAGCTTGTGTCCACTAAATGGTTTGCTGGTGCACTGGAAGTCAGAGTGTATTAGAAAAGGGGGAATTTAATTCTGCCATCTAATCCTCCGTGTTTCAGCTTCACAATTACATTATCAGCCTTTTGAATATGCAAAAAAATATCCCATGACTTTAGAACTTTGTTTGCTGCCAGTAACTGGGTACTGACAAAACATATGTTTAGTTCATCATTGTTTTCAAATAAGTTTTATATTTTATCTGAAAGTTAAACAGTATACATAAGGGTGAACAAATACATACAGCATTGTTCTGAAGATAAGAGCATATACTTTACCTGTACCTCACTTTCACAACTGCAAATACTCAATTTTTTCAAAACCAGTAATGTTCTTAAAATAAAAAAAAAAGGCAACCCCCCCCCCCAATACTACTTTTCTTCCTTTCATTTTTTCTTCTCAGATTCTTTTCTCACTCTTATTTTTTTCCTAACTCTGGCAAGACAAATTTCTGAAGCATAAAAGTTTCCCATACTGTATAATTTACAGTTCAAATTTCTCTTTTTTTAAATAAGATTAGCTAGCCTGTACATATCTTGGGATAACAAGGACCTGTTGGAGAAGGTCCAGAGGAGGGCAACGAAAATGATCCGAGGGTTGGAGCACCTCTCCTGTGAAGACACGCTGAGAGAGTTGGGGTTGTTCAGCCTGGAGAAGAGAAGGCTTCGAGGTGACCTCACATTGCAGCCTTCCAATACCTGAAGGGGGCCTATATGAGAGATGGGGACAGACTTTTTAGCAGGGTCTGCTGTTACAGGACAAGGGGTAATGGTTTTAAACTAAAAGAGGGTAGATTTAGACTTGACATAAGGAAAAAATTCTTTACAATTAGGTTGGTGAAGCACTGGAACAGGTTGCCCAGACAGGTGGTGGAAGCCCCATCCCTGGAGGCATTCAAGGTCAGGCTGGATGGGGCTCTGAGCAACCTTATCTAGTTGGAGCTGTCCCTGTTCACTGCAGGGGCGTTGGACTAGATGACCTCTAAAGATCCCTTCCAGCCCAAATGATTCTATGATTCTATGATAATTTCAATGCCCCATTCACCTCTGGGACTACTGGCTCATAAAATCAATTCTTCACGCTGTATTTATCAGGCACTACACTTATTGGAGGAGATCCTGCAGAAGTCAGTTACCAGTGGTTCTCTTAAAAGTCCTTTTTCATGGAACTGAGACACCACATTATGGGCACTCTGTGTCTGCAAAACCAACACTAATAGCCATGAATAATTACTGAAGTCTCATCATTTGTCTTAAATATTGCTATCAAAATGAAGGTTAATAGATACATTCTTAAAGTATAGATTTAAAAATAAATTCAGTTGCATAAAATCATTTTAACTTTCTCTATTTGTATCATAGTAAACTATAAATTTTCTGCAAGAGAATACAAATGCTTTATAAATAATGTAAGCACTTGACTACAATGCAAACATTCACTTCAGTGTGGTAAAGTTTGAAGCTTCTGAAGATGATTACATATACAAAACAATTAAACTTTAGGGTGTTGATAAAGTCCTTTTCTTCTCTGCATTTTTCACACTTACTATGAAGCATAAGGACTGTCATCCTCAGTGCTTAATGGGATGGTATAGACAAGGCTAGAGGTAACTGACACAAGCAGAAAAACAGAAAATTCTGACTAGATATGTTAAAAAAAAAAAAATCACTATAGATAGTTAAACACTGGAACTATGCTCAACTTGAAAGGGCCTTGATCAGATTCAGAATTTTACAGACATTTCTGCTTGAATTCATGGAGACCATTTGGTTTCTTCCAGGATCAGCATTTATCTACCCGTTTCCAAATCAAGCTCACACTTTCACAGCCCCTTTTTTGTCCTCTTCTAGCAGCCTTACATGATTGATCTCAGAACTGCTTTCAGTGTTGTCTAGTGCTTTTGGCATCTCGTAAGACTTGCAGTAGGTGATTTCCCACTGTGTCTACTGACTCACAACTAAATGCAGTTTAATTACAGCATTTGTCTCTTAGATTTATCCCATTTCATGTGACTTAAGAGCTGCTCAAAATTTCTTTAGTCCACGCTTTGCAGAATCTTTCAGAGTTCAGTGCTCTTTTCTTGGATTTTGGTTGAACTTCTGTTGTAACCCACTTGTTTCCTTCATCTGCCAATCTTTTTCACTCCTTTCTTCCAAATGCAAAAGGATTCCTGATTCAGGTAGTAAATAGTGTCCCACATGATAGGATATCTAACATGACATGCTTATGATGGAATACTCCTATATATATGTTACAAGTATAAAACAAGGATGCAGCAGACAGCAGCTTTTCCAGTAGACTCTATACTTTTCTCATCGCTGACTTTCCAACGCTACTGTCCTGTGGGATCTGCAGGATACAAGGCACATTGATGAAATTCTCCATACTGAACAAATTTCCTCCAAAGAAAACTGAGACCTACTATTCACGTTACTTCCCAAATGCCATGCTGTAAACAAAATGCACCTTTTTGCCAAACGTACAACAGTATCTACCACCTAGAAGTTGGAGTAGAAAAGCTATTATAAGGCTATTGCCTTTCACAAACCCATTCCCATGCTACACCGTAACAGGGTATTTAACAGTAGTTTCTGATCATTATTAAGTTCTTAAGCTTGCCACACATAACCACCAACGTACTGCAAGGGCATTTTTCTCTTAACATTTCCCACAGGGCAGCAAGAATTTTGAACTTTCCATTGAAAAAAAATCAGTCAGTTTCTCCTTAAACTGTATACCACTACCTTGGTAGGTACTCGATTTTTGCCATGTACCTTGTATCACTTATTCTCATTTCAAGTATCTGTCTACACTAGCAAACATCCTAAAGAACACCTTACTTGCAATCATCCAGAAATCCCTCAATGTATACTGCTAATCTGAGACCACCATGATCTTATTCAGGAGAAGAGGGGGAATAGGAAGGGGACAATATGTTTGCAGGCGTTTTCCAACATGGCTCTGCCAGTACATGCCACCAGTTCCTTCTATAATAAAGCTAATCTCAGTCTTGTTTTCTATATTCACACCAAAATCAGTACAAACACATCCATCGCTGTGCTTATAAATGGTTAGTATTGAAATGTGATATTGCAGAGAGCAGTCTAGGACTGAAAAATTCAGCAGAAATATTCCACTACCGCAGCAAAGAAAAAGACAGAATTTGGGTACGGGATTTTGTTCTATCTTTTGCTAAAGCTCCAGGAATAACAACAGCTGTGAAAATAAATGTAAAACTGCTACTGAAAATTTTCTCTACCAAAAATTTTATCTCTTATTAAATGCTGACATATCTGACAAGAGACAGGAGAAATTATTTAAGGAAAAAAAAAAAAAACAACAAAACCAAAACACATAACCAAAATAACTTTCAAACATTTTTTCCAACATAACAACATGAAAGACAGATACGCAGAAAAGCACTGGAATTTCACCAGTAGGTGTGATGGGATCCTTTATGCAAGCAGCATCAGAAAGAAAAGCCTGGAATACACTGATTAAGAGCTCATGTAGAAGTACAAGTGCCCAAGAAATGAGACACAGAACTCATGCATAAAGCGGAGGTCTCCACATCACAAAATAACTCTTCTTCCTTCATTATCATTTACAGAATGCCTGAATTTACCTCTGAAAGACAGCCCTGAATTTTAGAAAACACGTTTGGGCCTCAGTTATACTGGACTGTGTTTTGTCACTTTTCAGTTGATCCGTTTACATTTTGATTGAACAGAAATGCATCCAGTACAGCAAATTTGTTTTTCAATATTATGAGCACCAGAAACTGTGCAAGCTTTAATTGAAGCTATTGTGTAAGTCGTGATCACATCAGGCAAAAGCATATTTAGGCTAGTGACACATTAGTACGATGCTTTACAAACACATCAAATTGCAACATGCTGAATGAACTCACAAAATAACATATTTTTTAGTCTCTTGTGTCCTTTTCTATAGTTCCTCCCACCCTGCCTTGTTTGTCTTAGGTAATTGTTTTTATTAAGCTGTCCTGCACCACCAGCTCTTCTATTTGAGTTACACTGAGACATGCAAAATAAGCAGCAAAGGGATATACCATTCCCAGCAGCTGCTGTCTTTGAAGACATAGGCCAGCTGTTAAAGCAAGCAGCAGATACTTTCTGAAAAAACTCACATCCACTTCCCCAGCACATATTTCACTGCTGCTGTTTTCATTAGCAGGAGAGCTGCACTGTGAAAAGTGGCTTACCGCAGCTTGCATCTAACTATCCTGATGAAAAGAATTTATTTAGGTAGGTAAAGGCTATGAAGCACCTAAAAGATACCTCACACACAAGTAACCAAGTTACCTTCCAGGAACCTAGTACACAGCCTGCAGAAAATACTTCTTAAATTATCTTTATACTAACCTACTACCAAACAATAATTTATTATTTTTATAAGTATTCTAAAATTATTCAAGCTCAGTACCAGTGTCTGAGCAACCTAGCTTAGTTGAATTACTTAACAGAACACCCATCAGATGTTTTTGTCCATTTGACAGATATAGTTTAGTAGCACATAAAGATGTGAAAAACAAATTAAAACCTTGCTACAACATTTTGTTAGTGAGGACACTGTCATCTACAGTCTTGTTTCTATTACTAGTTTCAATTATATCCACAAGCTTTGTGAATCGACTGTTCTTACGGGAACTTAATAAGTTACTAGTATGCATTTACAGTAGGCTTTACTTGGCAGTTGTCTTTGAAGCTGCTCTGACAAGAGTGTCTCCAAGGAATAAATATACTGCAAATATTCATTGTTATTTTCTAAAACACAGCAAAGTTTTGCTACTTTTCCTATATTACTTTGAAGGAACTTAAAACATGATACTGTGGATCAAGCAAGTGTGTTTACAAGCAAATAAAAGAAACAACTTGATGATGCAGGTGTATAGGTTAACTTTTATATAACTATGAAGCAAAGAAACTCCCCACTCACTTCTGCTGTTAATACCATAATGATTCTATAACAGTAAACAGTACACTTCTTTTTAAAGAATCGCTTCTTGCATGGTCTTGCTCTTGTTGTTTGTTTTTGTTTGGCTTGGCTTTCAGGTAGAGAAAAAGATGACCTGATAACAAATTTATTAAACGAAATTACCTAGGTGATATTTTAGGTATTTTTAAAGAGGTACTCAAATGGGGAAAGATGTCCAAAAAAGGCTGACAGGAAAGCATGTTCTGAAGTCATATAGAATGATGCAGAAAATGCTCCAGATTCTTTTCTGCATCAGTTCGTTTCCCTTGGTGCAAGAAGCCCTCAGTCAGTTCAAGGGAGTTCAGACAACAAATTCTTCACAATGCTTTCTCTAGTTATGTCTTGAAGCCCTCCACCTGAGAATGGAGTATGCTATATTTTAACGGCTACTTCAGCAAACATTTTGAAAGTAGGAGCTTCAAGAGTTCTTCAGAATATTAAGAACAGTATGTTGCTCAGTTTCCGCTATATTTTCCTTTATCTTAGCACTAAAGATGATACCACTTGAAAAAGTGCTATGTAAAAGGATACAAAGAAATGAACGACTAGACTATATTACAGAAGATATGAGTACTGTGTCATGGAAAATACCTCAATATAATTTACTATGACAGAACTTTCCTAGAAAAGCAATTGACTAAGATTTCATTTAAACAACTGTTCAAGTTCATTGAATATAGCATTTTCATCAATCCCTTTCTTCCATCATCAGCTTGGAAAACTGGTAGTTTTGAATTGTCAATAAGAATTTTAGTAACCTTTAGTGTAAGGTTGAGGGCTGCCATCTCTCTTTGCCAGAACGGTCTCATTCAATGGTAACCATATTTGACAAAGCTTCCTTCATTTAAAGCAAGCTATTTTATACACAAAAGAAACTTGGGTTTCTTCTCCTCTTAAAGAATTCACTGAATGCTCCATGTGTTCTGATTCTACATGTCTAATGGTTAACAGTCCAATTTAAACCAACTCTTACTATGAAGAAAAAATCCAACCAAATGTGGGTGTGAGATTTTTTAATTATATTTTACTTCTAACACTAAAACTAGTGAAGTAAGTTTATTTATACTTATAGAGAGCTGACTTGACCACCTTCAGATTAGATTAAAGACTATAGCAGAATCAGAGATACATCCTGGTACACCAGCAAACTAAAACTTTATTTTGGTTCCCTTAATCCACGCTTCCATGTTGAACTATATTGCCCAACTTTAGGTCTGTCATTGAATCAAGTTAAACTCAGTGATACAGGCTTTTAAGAGCTACTTTGATGAACTTCATCATATGTCAATGCCTATCATACATAGGCTTTATACTAGCTCCAAATGCAAAGATTTCAGCCTGACTATAACAGAATCTGATATCTCAGTAATTCACTTCAGTACAAAGATCTCACTATTGACAAGCCTGGACCATCTCAGAAACAGACCGAAAAATCTACTGAATTAGAAAGATGACAGTTCTTCACCGCTGCCACATTATAGTGGTTACATGTGAGCAAGGAGTAAGAACATAACCTAAGAAAGTGTGCATCAAGTCAGACAACTGCTTAGTATGTTGTTTGACAGCAAATATACACATGTAGGAATTTTTCAGGGAGTTTTCTCAGCACCCAGTGATTTGTGACACCAGAATTTCATAAACCAGAGTTAGTATAACTGTTTTCAATAGCCCTCAGTAGATTTCTGTAAGTTCTTTCAATTCTTTAACTCCTGTAAATAGTTTAACATGCACAATATTCTGTGATAAGATTTGCATTTTAACATTTTTGTGAGAAGCATCTCCTTTCAAACCTCCTCCTGTATTTGATACGTGTAGTTGTTACACAGGAGGAAGCAATAAACATCCTCATCCTGCCACACAGCATTCTATAGCTTTGTCATATTGCTCCAGATGTGTGTTTGCCCTGCCCTGA